GGTCCCTCTAAATCATAATTCAATAAGGGGCGAGCTTGCCAAGAGAGATCCCGTGGAGGTCTTCGCCAGCTGCTCGACTGCAACGAATGCAAGGGAATGGATTTAGATCTAACAACCCTAGCGTAGGAGGCGTAGGTGTGGCCAGTCTCGGCGGTCCGTGGAAGCATCGCAGCATCACGAGGGAAGGACGGAGGTCCCGGACAGTATTGGACGATGATGAATCGAGCCCGGAGAGCGTGAGGCTCAAAAACAGCTCGACAAAGAATTGTTCCCGAAACCGGGCCCGAAAAAGCACGGAGCAAAGAGATCAGGAACGGTCCTTTCCAAGTGAGTCTCTCTTCGGCCCTGAGCCTCGCAGGCTATTGGATGGCGGCGCTTTGCAAGCTCCACAAGGACCAAGACCCGGGAAAACCCTCGGTGAAGACGAGACACGCGCCGGTCTTTGGGCTGCCAGGAGTGGCGAGAGCTTTGCGACCGGGATCCCAAAGCCAACATCTCCATGTCCTTCAACCGCGTCTACGAGTATGTGCCTGGGCTCGTTGGGCTACTGTAGTACCTTATAGTTGGAATCTGCGCACGCGCCACATTTTGGATCATGCTCCATGTTAATGACGATCGGGACGAGCCGTCGAGCCGGGAAGGTGGGTGTCGCCGTCGAGAGCGCTCTCGCCACCAAGCACTCTGACCGCCTGCGGGTCCTCAAAGAGGTGAACGCCAGGCCCAACCTCGTTTCGAACCGGGAGGGATTCACTTTTCGGATTGCGCCGTGGGCTGTGAGAGCATTCCGAAGACCCTCGTGCATGGGGTTGGTGGTAGGCTGTATCGATGCAGAATGATAGGCAAACAGCCGTAGCCGTCCGAGCCATTGTGGCAGCACGGCTTGTGCAGGTCCTCTGTCACCAGCGGGCACAATTTGCTCGTTCGCTTCTTTGCCGCAGAGAGCTTGGTGACGCAATGGCACGGACCCATGTTCTCGGCATTTCTCGCCCAATTCCAATGCTCACATGCCTACCGCAAGGCGCCGAGCAGCTTGGGCGAGCAATGGGCAGCCTGTTGTATGCACGTCAACGCAAGCATTCTGTAGGTTGTAGGTGCAGTCACGGGGCAGTCAAGCAACCCCGGCCCCCACCGGCAGAAAGTTTCTGCTTGTCTGAAGGGCCCTGAGCCCGATCCGGGCCGCGAAGCACAGCAGGGCATGCAGCCTACAGACGAGGTCGAGAGTGCTCGTTGGCATGGTACGGTTGGAGCACCTTTTCCTTTGTCTTGGTGCCTCGGCTGTTTTTGCGCTTCAAGACGGTGATGCTGGAAGTCCTATAGAGGCTGAGCCTCGTGTGCTTCCCAGGCTACAAGCTGAAGAGTGGTCGACCGAGCCTGCAGGAGTCCGAGGAGGACTGCTATGCGACTCTGCTTTTCCAAGACATGTAGCGGATCGCATAGTATGGGACAGTATAGGACTGTCATGTTTGTTTGATCGTCCCACCCTCCTGTATCTTTGATACCCCATCAATTGAGGTACAGCCGCCTAGAACCAGCTCAAGTCCCTTGGCAGAATGCCCCGAGCTGCTTCATTTGTCCACTCGAGTTACTGTATATGAGATGCTGAGCTTTTTCAAGTACGCCGTAAGATGATTCCTGATAAGTCGCCCGCAGTTGAGGGTGAGGACGGCGAGGACAGCGGTTCCGATTAGGAGAATTCCCGACGACCGAGGTTCCTCCGTGGAAAGCTGCTCGGGCTTTTTCTGGCAGTGCATCGGAGGGTCGTTGGAGTCGTCGGATGCCACCTTTTCTTCCAATGGGAGTCGAGGTGGCGGCCCCGAACCCCAGAGCTCTGGAAGCCCTGAACGCAACCTGTCTCGCCTGGAGCGTTACAAGGGTCCAGGAACCAGCCCAAAACAAGCTTTAACAACATCTTAAGCAAGTTCCAGAAGCAAAAACCATGCTCCTGCAAGCTCTGGGTATCCGTGCTCGGCTCTTTTTCGTTTGTAGCCGGGGGGGGCCCGAACCAAGGCGATGTCTCGATGGCAGTGCCCGAACTCATCGACTCCGCAGAGGCTCCCTGAGTACCAATCTAGCAGAAAGTAAGCATGAAGCAGTAGAGCTGCGTCGTCAAGTTACTCTGAGGTTTGATGTACCAGTAGCACCACAAACAATGGTCATGGCTACGGGAAAACTATAGTAGCAATCACAGAAAATGAAATAGCAACCAAATAACAAGACAGTGAAGCAGCAACAGAGCGATGGAGTGACACTGGTCATTCCGTTTGGCTTGCTGGAGTTGGTCCAAGTGAGTCAGTTTTCCCTGGCGGTGGAAAATCAGCCTGTCCCGACTTCGAAAGTCGGGGTCTTTAGGAAGTGGTCTGATTCCCTATGAGCCGACAGGTCTATCGCCTGTACAGGGGTGCTTGCGGCGCCGAGGGGGACATCCAGGCCCGGCCTTTCCTTGGCGTAGTTGGCAGTGGCATGCTGACAAGACCTGCCATCTTGACATCAAACAGTCCTCACAAGAACAGGGCATCTTAGGCTCTCTTGAGCTCAAACACCAAAACTTGAAAAGCAAGCCTTTTCCTGCTCCGAATTTGCCACTTCCCGCTGCCAGGAAAGATGTCGGATCTGGGTGACTTGGCCCCAACGGCCCCTACAAATTGGAGATCGACCTTACGGGTAGCCGGGTGTTGGGCAGAATGCGCTCAGGGCTCCGGAAGAAATGCCAGTCAGGCTGACATGCCGAAAGATGTAGAAGAGCCGTTCCCTTCCGTGGGGCAAGATCGCCCTGCGCCAGCTTGAAGCACCTGCCAAGGTCGATTTCACGCGATTGCAGATTGCAGTTGCCGAGTACAACACCCCCGCATCCCCTACAAATTGCATTTCTCTGCTGGACATAACTTGGTGTCACTGCGATGCGCTGGACCAGGAGCTGCCGATCTGTGTGAAGATGCCATGTCTAGGCTTAGGAACCAAGCGTCGGCCTTGATTGGATTTCGAAGCTCTCCCTTCAGCACAGGGTGGCTTGAGCAGTGTGAAGGACACCGGGTGGCATCCCTATGAGTGCTGTCAGGGCATGTGAGACGACATGCTGGTTTGTCAGGACTCCTCCTGGCTCTACCGCATTGACGTTTTCAGCCGGAACCCTCCGAAAGGAGCAGTGTGGCCTTTTTCATCGGAGATGCTTCAGTCACGGTTCTTTCGCTCTTCTTCTGAGGAGGAGCTTCTCCGACACGCCAGACAAGGCCGGAACCCATGCAGAAGCCTAGAATTAGCGCGACTTGGCGAGCAAAGTCAAGGTTGGTTCATGAGCTTGGCATCAGGCATTCTCTTGTTTCGTCATGCGGCTTCCATAAAACCATGGCTTCGAAACAGCATTGCGGCGCTTGCAAAGTCTGAGGTTGCAGGGTCCTCGACCACATTGCAAGAATTCGGCATCCTGGCTGCCCTTGGATGCTTCGCATTCGATTTAGCTTTGCAGTGCCCACTCAGGACTCGCGCTACAAAAGCTGCTGAAGTCTCGGGACAACGAAGGTCACGGCCGCCTATACTTCATCCAGAAGCGATTGTTCCAATATCTCTGGAGATCGGTCCAGCTGTCAGTCAGCGAGGAGCGTGGTTTTTCCGCGCTCGGCTGTGCATCCTGCAGCATGCAGCAGCACCCACCCACTCCTAGGTATTGATAATGGAGCATGAGCACACTCAGCTTGCACTGCATGCCTGAGCATATGCCTACAGTACTTTGCTCGCGCAGGATCGCTTGGTTGAGGCGCAAGCAGTGCTGGCTTTCAACCTCAATCCCAAGGACTGGCATTGTCCTCTGGGTTTTGCTTCTTGGCAACATCTTCCCAATTTTGTCTCTCACGCAGGAAGGCATTGCCTATTTAAAGCGTGACTTGGACCGCACATATACGGATCATGAGTCTTCTCGGCTCTTCCCGAAGCGATGCCTCCGGGCCTGGTGTCTTCCTGTGATTTCTTAGGAAAGTTGAAAAAGGACACCGATGACGCTGCTTTTCTGAAGCCAGATGACCCCTCCGTTCCGAAAAACGAAGACACGAGACAAGGGAGTGTTCCTGCACAAGAAGAAGCTGAGTCCGACTGGATTTGGATAGGTCATGAAACGCCTCTGAGTAAGTTCTGGTCCCACCGAGGAGATCGGTGAGTGGCTCTCCCAGGTATGCACCGAACGTGGTGGTCTTGATCCGACCATGCTAGGACCGCCTGAGCAATCCGATACAGATCTCCAATTTGGCGCTGGGCCAGCCAATCAGAAAGAGTTGATCCGCAGGAGACTACTTCAGCAGGCGAGATACACTGCAGATCTTTTGGAGCTTTGTCAGCCGCATTGCTGCCCAGACGCACTCTTGACTTGCAGTGGCGTTGAATGGCTGAAGCTGTGTGACGCTGGAATTGCGTGGTGCCTGCAACGATTGCCTCCGTCGGAACCGATTTCGACGAGTACCTTCTGTGTTAGACTGGGCTGTGAAATTGTAAACCCCACCTTGCCGCCCAAGGACTTTTCCAAGCAGGATCTGGTCTCGGCACTTCGACAACTCTTCGACACGTTCAAGCCCGGAGGAGAGGGACAAGCGACTGGGCACTGAAAGTTCCTTGCGCAGCGGCTTTCATAGTCTATTGAGTCTGTTCTGCCGTGAGACGGGATCTCTATGGCATGATCGCCCCATGCTGGCGATCGCCCACCAAGTCCAGCATTTTGCATACAAAACGATACTAACGATACACTGTTTGGGTAGGGATGTTAGGCGACTCTGTCTCAGGTGATCACCCGCATTCTGGAGTATTTTGCGGAGTCCTACTTTCTGCAATCTGGCTGGTTTATTGGAGGGCCAACAACATGAAGCATGTACAGATGTTGGAGATTGTTGGAGCAATCGGCGATGGACAGCAGGGCCGATCCTGGGCTTTGCAGATAACTATAGATAACTTTAGCTGGAGCAGTTCAGCAGCCGTCCTCCTACGTAAAATGCAGGAGCCGCACTCTGTCCTGGGAGGCAATGGCAGAAGCAAGCCGACTCCGCCAGCAGTTTGAACTACAAGTCTTCCGACACTGTCTTTCAGGCCAGAGGGCCTGTTCTTTCCTGTTCTTTGGTTAAATTCTTTTCTGGCAAAGGACAAAGTTGAAACAAAGGATCGGTAGTTCTGCTGCAGAGACATCCGTGCCGTGCCCAACTCTGAACCTAGGACAGTAAGGAGTCGGGAGTGAAGTTGTGCACATGTTTGCATGTTCCATGTGTGAAAAAGCCATTATGCCTGTATTTTGCCATAAATAGGCGTAGGCCCTCATAGTCTGCACAAGATTTGCTCTGCTGTTGGTCTGCCTTGGCCGTGACAGGTGGCCGTCAGCAGCTCGGCAGATGCCATTGATCCTCATGCCCGGCATGCTGTCTCTTGAAAATCTCGACTGTGTGGGCGGTGCTTTGAGCAAACGCAAAGCTCCTGCTGCTGAGGCCTCATTATGCTGAATACAGGCCTGCATGTGGCCAGCAAGAAGCTGAAGAAGGCGAATACAGCAGCGATGACCTTGGAGGAGTACATCTCCAACACAAGGCTTGGGGTGGGTTGGAAGGTTGTGGCTTCTGTTAGGAAGCATCGAACCAGTATATCGACGTGGGGGAAGAATCACGCTTGCCGTGCTGCTCGCCCGAAATGCCCCTGAAGAGAGACCTCGAAGAAGTTTCTACAGCCTCAGACGGTCTTGAACCCACAATCTTCGAGCCACCCGGATCTAGACTAGACGACTCGACAGGCGCCTGGTTTCCGAGGAGGAGGTCCCGAACGAGGCCCTGAGGCCGCTCTTCCGATCCTGTCGGGGGTGCCTGGGATTCCCGTCCCTGAAGCCTCGCGAGCTTTAGCACTGCTGTTGTTGCAGGCTTCAGGGTTGGAGGTTCGTGAATTCGGGATCGGGGACTTCATGTTTTCCACAAGGTCTTGCATTTACGACAGGCACCTACCCTCTAGGCTGCAAGGAAGCAAGAGATGCCCAAAGCCAAGCCCAGGGCAGTAGATCCTGATTGGGTCACCTTGATATTTTATATCATACACAGAAACCATATAGTTCCTATGATATGTGTTTTTATGACTGTACATGTATACGTTAGATATATATAGAGAGAGAGGGAGAGTGCGTGCCTATGGGAGAAAGACAGAAAACGCGTACCTATACCTGCAGGCCGTGGAAGGCTCATTTATTCACACAAACACCTCGGTACTGTACACCTTAGTTCGCCCTGGGTAGGACCTGGTTCGAGGACATCAGCAGACTTGGCTTGCATTGGTATCATGGGTTTTTGGAGTTGAGTTTGGACGTGATATTGGGGTAGTGCATCGAGCAACCGAACACCCTTCTGCTCAGCGTGAATGGCAACCTGTTCTGAGAAGGGCGTGGATGCAACCCAGGACTTGTTTCATAGAGCAAGCATGGAATGGAGAATAGAGAGACTATCATTGTGTAGCGCATCGAAGCGCGAAACAGCTCCGAGGTTGTACAGAGATCTCCGTGGAACCCATGCCCCGCACGCCCTTCTCCAAGCTGCCCGTCCAGCCGAATATCGAGGGATGGCCTGGGCCCCGGACCGGAAAAGTACCATTGGAGGCCTGATTTCAGTTGTGGGGCGAAGAAAAAAAGTCGCTGTGTGCCTTTAGATGCGTCGGCAGTGTCACGCCCCGAGCTTCACGCCAGCTTTCTATGCTGTCTTTGCGCACTTCTCTGCGAGTTTTCCCAGGCTCATTGCTGTGATGGAGGGTGCACGTCGCTTGCGATTTTGGGCCGTGCTGGTCAGCTCCTCATACAGGGTGGGTGGCGTAGAGATCCGAGGGATGGAGAGCATGAAAGAGGAAGGAGGCACTAGAACTGAGGCAGGACTGAATTCCAGGTGCCATCGGCAACTTGCCCACCAAGGTGCTCCAGCGCATCTATCTCTTTTCCGATTCGCAGGGCGATGTTGATCCTGAGGATGTCATTGACTTGAAGGATGTTGCAGTTGCAGCACTCGCAGAAGCTTCGCCGCACTTACGAAGAGCCCTCAAATCCTAGCGCGCCAGTCTCTTCTCCTTCTCTTATGAGTGCATGCCCTCTACCCCCTATGCGATGTGCGAGTTAGCTTAGGTCGGGCGGGCCATGCTGGCCCCCAGACCGAAATGTATCTTTGCGCTCTCGCCTCCATCTCNNCCCCCCCCCCCCCCCCCCGCTTCTTCCTGGCACCCTCGCCCAATTGCAAACCCTTCCAGCACCGATCCCTCCTCGCATCGTTAGCTTTCTCTCCTCCACCCCCCCCACCCATCCTCGCTTTCCCTCCCTGCTTCTCCGTGACTGCCTTCGCCTCTCCTGGAAGTCTCCCCGGCTTCTCTCCCCCTTGCAACGGCTGCACCTTTATTTTTGGGAAACGGGCTGTCGCCGTCCACTCCACCCCATCCCAGGCCCCCCCGTCTGTATCAGGAAATTTTGTGGCCGGAGCATATGCGCCAAAAAGCATTTATCCTACTTCAACGACAAGAAGAAGACTGCACTGGGTTCCTGGCTCAAAACAACCGATGAATTCCAACATGCCGTCAAAAAGCGAGAGGCTGTGACAGCTTCTACAAGGGTTCCCGGCGGATCTGGGCGGCTGCGTGACTCCTGACCCTGTTGCCGCCCAGGAAGACAGCGCTGCAAAGAAGCGGTACACAAATCACTTGCTCCTTGTCTGTCCCAGAGGTGGTGATAGTGCTGATGCTAATGGTGGTGGTGGTGGTGGGATGTCCAGTAAGGAGTCACAAGCCTTGCTGCTGCGCGGCACGCCGGCCACCAGCGCCCTGGCAACTCGAGGCCACCAGCAGGCGGGAGCGGACCGATGTTCCAAGCAACCGCCTAAAATTCAGATTTGGTCAGGAAAACTTACTTGGCTCCCATGGAAGGTGCTGATGCGTTTTGATACAAGGCTTGCGAGGTTGGCTTGGTATAACCACGTGGAGGTTTGAACAATGCAATCGTGTCCACTGGTTCACGTCCGTTGCATCGCAAAGAATGCTGGCCGAGGTCTATAGACTATAGTCAGAGCATTCTCATTCATCAAGGGCCGCACACACACGGGGTCGACTCCTAGCTCTCATTCCAAGCTGTATGGGAGCGAGCAGTCGCTGCTGTCGGAGCGGAAACGGTGAAGGAAGGGAACTTCACCCCAGATCAAACGGCAAGAAGCTGAGATCACCCAGCATATCGCTACGTCGATTTGGGTTTCTGTGTTTGGCAGAAACCCCGGTTCAAGTGCCCAAAAGGCCTGAGCTTGTCACGTAGGTTGTGGTCTCCTGCGGCGACCATATCCTCGCCTCGTCGCCCCTATAAGATACTGATGCAGCGCTCACAACATCCTTGCCAGGGCGCTCGAGATTTCACAGCGCTCGCCGGGCCCACCAGCGATCCTGACGAAGTCAAGCTCTTGGGCGAAGCTTAGAAGGGCAGAATGTAGTTCTAGTATTCCGAGCTTTTGATGCCTGGTTGGGGGGTTGTAGTGTTCCGTGTGGGAACTCTACCGGATCGACGGACATGCGCCATGCTTTGAGCCTTTGAGATTTCAGTAGGGAACACCCAGCAGCAGCCAGGGATGCTGTTGTCTCTCGGTGGGCTGTAGGTGAAAGCAGAACGGGCTTCGGCCTCAAAAGATGCCTACAGCGCAAGGTCCGACACCCCTTCGTCGGCTAGTCTTGGTGGCAGAGAGCCAAGATTTGGCCGACAAGTGGGTGCATCCTGTCTTGACAAGGTTGAGTATGGTTGAATATTCCGGCCGAGACCGATCACACAGGTGCGAGAATGATACGTGTATGTAGTTGTCATACATACATACATACATACATACATACATACATAATTACATGTGTAGTTTATGATAATTTTTAGAACTACTTCTAGCAACACTAGACCAGGCAAGGCGGCTTTGCTGGCTTGCTGTAGCTGCATGCCAGGATCACCCACACCACACTCCGGAGGTTGCTGCTTTTCACGTGTCGAAAGCAGATGCATGCCGTAGCTGCTGCCTCCTAAGGCACATGATCTCCTGTGGGCCCTGAGACAAGCGCTGCAAATGAAAAATCGTGCCTGCTCCCTGCATGCCCCGAAGTCCAGAAGTGACATCGACGCCACCCAGCTAGCAGAGCTGTTTGTCGGCCAAGCACTGTCCTGAGCGTCCGCTGTGGTGAGGGTCGGGTGTAAGGCACGTGGTATCGCAGGCAGCGACTCTAGATATAGGCAGCTGGCTCGAGTCATTTCCGATGGGCCTTTGCTCCTGTTTCATTCCTTTCTTTGTCACAGAACTCGAAAGCAGTCGTTCCTACATTGAGGGCATCAGGCCCGTAATACTTAAGCCCGCCAGACAACGCAAGTTCATGCTCAGTAAGTCTTGCTGACTTTATGCCTCTGTGCAATATGCGTATGAGGCTCTTGCAGACCTTTTAACGTCCTTGGAGAGCGTCAGCGAGACAGCGATCACGTTATTGTCGCAGCTTGGCCGCACACAGCTGCTGCAATCCCCAGGCCTGGGACTTTCAACGCGCAGAATGTGGTGATGTAAGCCTGTGAGTTTGCCCAGCAGCTCCGGGATC